AAGTGCAGATGCAATTTCCCTGCTCAATGCATACATGATCAATTTACATGCATAAATGAAAAAAACCACAATTTCAACTAAGTAGTCGTAGTTAACAGCTTCCACTATTTTTTCTTTTAAAAAAATACATTTTTAGAATTATGAAATTCAAAAGAAAAATGGCCTACATTGGATAGCTAAATATAAACAAGGCTTAAATACATTCTCAGAAAACATTCTCCCCTTCCCTTCCATTTACTTCCTTAACCACTAACCACAACTTAAGATACTTAAATTTTACATTATATATTAAAGATTATTGTTAGTATCAATTTAAATCCTTTCATTCATTATTCTTATTAGGTCCATAACTTTGTTCCTAAAAACATATTACAAATATTCTAAATTTGCTGTGCAATACAATATATAGTTTATTAAGTAATGGCTGAGAAATTTAAATACTCTGAAAAAGGCAGATAGAAGAAGGGTGGATCCCTTTGAATTGTGATGCTGGAGAGTATTATGCATTCCATGAACTGCAAAAATAACAAATTAATTCTAGACCATGGGTGTCAAAGTGGTGGCCCATGCCCAGATGCATCACACTTAGGCCACAGCCAACCTGGCTCCGCAAAGGCAAAAATTGTCACAATGTTATGTAATGTCGCATGATGCGATCGACTTTGACGCTTGTGTTCTAGACCAGTGACCCCCAATTTTCTGGCTCTGCGGACCAGCGGCGGGGGTAGCAGAGGGCCAGAGGGGATGGTTTCGCGCAAGTGTTTGCCACTTGTGCACTTATGCGTTGTGCACTTGCGGGCTCACCCCCCACTTGCATGGACTGCTACTAGGTCACAGAGTGGAGGTTGGAGACCCCTGTCTAGACAAAATGTCGCCCAAAATTTCACTTAAAGTCAAGATCACCGAACAGAGGCTGTCATATTTTGGTCACATCATGGGAGCCGACTCATTCAAAAAGTCAATCATACTGGGAGTAATCAAGGAAAAAAGAGAGAAGAGTCTGCCCTAGTACCCACTGGCTGAACACTATAAAGGATGACACTGGGATGACCATGGCAGATCTAAAGGAGGCAAGGTGAGACTAAGGGGCATGGAGAGTACTGATCCATAGAGTGGCTGGGGGTTGGACATGACTGAATGGCTGATAAGGACAACAATGTATAGTAAAGATAGGAACCATTCTTGCTTAAATTTGGCTAGATTTATATTACGGATCTGTCAATCTTTTCATTGCTGCATATTCAGTTTTAATATCCCAATATTGTATTGTCAGCAAAGTTCCTCCTTTCCAATGTTGTGCCAAATTTATTTTTGCAGCTGTTAGCATATCTTTTAATAAATTGTGATATTTTTCATTTATACTTCCTTGAATTATACCTATTTGTAGTTCCAGTTCAAAATTTCTTTTTTATATGATTTTCTTAATATTTTGAAGAATTTCTTTCTAACCCAAAGGTTTTTTTTCTATATATATATAAAATAAACACATATGGTAAAAAGTTTCCTTCTTTTTTATGGCATTTCCAATATTTATTGTTAATATGATTTCTCTTGTATTTTCTTTTGTTTAACCTATTTTAGGTTCTATAACTCGGCATGATATAGATTCTCCACCGGTTTCGGAGCATGTGGTCAGTATTTACAAGTATGAAGATATTTTTATGCCTTCAGCTGCCTATCAGACTTTTTCTTCTCCTTTTTGTTTGTTACTTATTGTTGCCTTGACATTCTATTTATTGATGGGAACTCCATGACATTGTGTATAGTATTATGACAGATTGAAATTATTTGTCAGACAGTGTTGTTTAAAATTCTACTCTTTTCTATTGGAGTTTATATTAGAGAACAATTTAATCATTCAGATGGTGACCAATAAACCTGAGCCATAAATTTGTGCCAAATAATTCCAAAATTTGTAAATCAATATAGCAAGTGTTTGTACCTTACTGGATACTTCTGATATGTATTTAGCCTATATTTCCAAATATATTTCTGGAAATATATACTAAATATATATTAGAAGTATTGCAAACACAAGCTGTATTGATTTTCAAATCTTGAAATTATTTTATGTTGTTTAATTGATGTTACTTAGACATTTACGAATGTGTAAGTAGCACATAGAATAAACAACATAAAACAAAGTAGGGTTGCCTGTAATATAATACATTTGCTGTTTGAAAAAACTACAGTATGATAATGTCATATTATGAAAAATGTATACAATTAAATTTTCTAATGTTTAATTAGCTTTCATCCAAGGAAATATAAATAAGATGTTGGTGAAATTAGATATCATATGTTATGTTATAAGTTAGATTTTTGCTTTGAAAGCCATAGTGACTGCATTAAATTTTACTTTTCCAGGTAAAATAATATTTAGGCTTAAATCAAGAAGCTTTTTAGTCAATGTTCTGTTTGCTGATGTTTAAGAAATAAACAATGACTTATATTTTGGTAGCTGAACTGAATGGTGTATGTACTTGCTCTGATCTGCATCTGATATAAGGATTGACTGGTATTGCCTACTGTTGGCGTCTGAGCTCTTAGTTGCTTGAGGGACTTCCTTTAGAGCTCTTGGGAAGGGAGCTAGCAAACTTTCCTGGTTTCTGCTTTGAAATGTGCTGGGCATTTAGTTGATTTACAAATTCTACATTTTATTGCTATGTCGAATGCTTTAGTTTTCATCAGGCAAAATCTAGCTATGTACCTAAGGGACTCACAGTTCTGATCTCTTCTTCTTTGCTTCTCTGCTGATGACAGAGGTCTTGGTTGCTCCAATTTTTAGGGGCTTTCCCCCATTAGATTCCATGGAAGTAATTAGAGGGGGCACTGAGGAAGAAAGACTATAACTTTGTTTCCCCTTACCATTTTCCCTCTGCCTCAATTCTTTATTCTGTTTATACAGTGTTGATACAGCTCTTCAAGCTGTTTGAGGTGTTTTGCTTCACCAGCTCATCTTTCAAATCTTTTTTCCAGTTTTCTCTGAACTGATCAATTAAAATTAATTTGTTCCATCCTATATCACCAGCAAAAATATGAATTATTACCTTCAAGATGTTTGAGGTGTTTTGCTTCACCAGCTCATTTTTCATATCTTTGTCCAGTTTTCTCTGAAATGATCAATTTAAGTTAATTTGTTCCATCCTATATCACCAGCAAAAATATGAATTATAGCATTCCCCCCCAACAAGATTAATGGCCTCACTGTCTTTTCTTATGTAACATATATATGAAGCTACTGGGCATCTGATGGTTTGTGGTAAGGTATTATCCATATCCTGATGATATTTAGATTTATATCTCCATCCCAGGTTGAATGATATGGTCCTCCAGTATCTGCAGAGTGTGGGACCCAAATGAGATGCAACTAGGCTTCAGCTCAACACAGCAAGGCTGAGTGACATTGAGTGTATGGACTTCCTGGTATGGGGGTTTTCCATTTTTGGTTTCAGGTTTTGGGGTTGTGCCTCAGACAGGCCCAATACAACGTAGGGGGGTTCTCCTGCACTTGCAGTTCCCTCTTGAAGACTTGATGACAGAAGGGTCTTTGCAACTTCTGATTGTGCAAAGGTTGAGCTCATTCTTGTACCAGGAGATCTCACTCATGGTTGCTTATGTCCTTATCTGGACTACTGTCCAGTCTATTGGAATTTATATTAGAGGACAATTGTTCAGATTGTGAATAATAAATCTGAGCCATAAATAAGTGCCAAATAATTATATAATTAGTATGCAGTAGCAAGACACTCTAATGAGTCTTTCCTTAAAGAGCATGTAGCAACAACAGGTGCAGAATGAGAAAGCATGGTAATGGGATGTTATTTGGCATATATAACATCACAATATTTTGAGTTGAATTGGCTACCAGAGAGCTTCTGGGTGCAATTCTTATATAAGAATATAAGTAAAAAAACTATACCTCTACAGAAATGCAACAAAACTATGATGAAAACCTTTTTTCATGAATTTGGATTAATATAAAAAGCGGGGAAAGGGGAAAAAAGAATGACATTGCCCAACAAAATAGAGGAAATAAATGAACTTTTTTTTGCTAATCATTTAGCTTAGGTATATATAGAAAGCACGCCACAATAATAATGGGGGACACTCTGGCGGACAGAAAGTGCTCCAGCTGGACAGACGTGGGAGATGTGGGATCTTAAGAGTCTCACATGAACCCTGTCTGACAAACCATCTCCGAAGATTCTTTTGAATCTGAACCTCCACTGGAGGCAGGGGCGAGAAAGGGTAGTGTCTCATCAGACCCTGAGAGAAGCAACAGATCTCTTGTGGGTTAGAGATTTGCCTATGAATCAGAGTCGGGGCGGCAGCCTTCATGGCTGACAAGATGCTGGTCTTTTTGTCAAAATAAGTTTTGGAACAGGTGGAGACTGGGAGGGATAAAAGATTTGGTAAGAGAATTTATCTAACCCACAACTATAAATTAAAACTGGAAAAGGCAAAGAAAATTTGAGAACATAAAAAATACTGATGGCCAGATCAGGACTTTTTTTTCCTTAAAAGAAAAGCAATAAGGGAAGGTGGAGGGTTGTAATACCAGCCCCCCCCCCCCGAAGTTCTTTGTCTGCGCTTTCAAACAGAAGAACACAAAGCAAAACAGCTACAAACCCATATAATTATAAACGGTAAATTTGGTTTTGCATCTTAAACAGAAATCAATATTTTTACTTCATTTGAATTCCTTCCCTCTAAAATAATCAAGAAAAAAAACACGTCTTCTTCTAAATCCACTCAAAATAAACTCTAATTTGGTCTCGGATATCAAATAGAAACCAAATATTTTGATCTTTTTTTTTTTTCTGATAACGGATAACCTAACCTTAAATGTGTGAGAAGTTTCAACTAATCAACTACCATAAATCAGAAGTTACAAGAGCAGGAGGCAAAAGAGACACGTACCCAAATCTAGTTCTTTATAAGTTTGTTCTAATTGATATGTTTTAAGTAGCTGTGGCTGATCGGAGACGGAAGGTGACAGCGGGAAGAATTATTACAGAGATAAGAACTGGAAAATGCTAAGGTTTTTTCCCTTCTCTCTTTTTTTTCTTCCCTCCTTCTTCTTTTTATTCTACTGCAAAGATTAAGATGACCCCGGCTTTACTTCCAGTCCCACAGTAGCTAAAACTTAAGGTGGACCAGAGCCTCAAAATAAGACTTTGTATAACTAACTGCAATCTTGGAACTGGATATTAAGGACTAAGTTGGCTCCCATCGTTCTCCCCTACAGCAGTGGAAGTGGACACATTTAAGGTGGACCAGAACTTCGAACTGTATAGCTAATTCTAACTTTGGAACTGGACATCATGGAAAGCTGGGAATTTGAAGAATTATGTGAAATTATTAAAAATATGCCTAAATCATTAAAATCAAGCCTAAATAGAATTTTGAACCCAGAGAAGCAGATATATAAAAAAGAATTCAAAGAAGAAGGGGGGCAAGATAATGAAGGAGTAGAAACTGAGGGAAACAAAAGGCAGACAAAAGAGGTTGAGGCTGTTAGTGGCATAAGGGAAATTAAAGGGGGAGACTTCACCCTAACAAAGAGAAATAAAAAACAACAACATCCTTTTGGTGGTGGCCTAGGGAAAGTTGGGGAGAGTGGATATGCCAAAGCAAAGAGAAGGGTGAGGGCAGGAGCAGAGAAGTGGGACAAAAGACTTTCTAGGAAAAAGTTAGATAACCAGGATTTTTTATCTGGGAGAATATAAAACTAAGATAAGGGTTTTATTTCTAAATATGACAACAAAATGGAGTTGTTAATTGATTGAATGTAATAATGGAAAGATAATTAAGCAAAGGTTGAAATATATGGAATGTGGATAAATATAAAACTGACATGGGGAGGTTGTAAAGCAGAGGTTTGCCATTCACTTTTATACATGACAATTAAACTGAGTGGCAAATTGACTGGAAACAACAACAGAAGGACAATTAAGCATAGGTTAAAATGTATGAAACATGGATACACACAGAACTTTTAAGATGATGAAATAAAGCAAGATGTTTGCCATTTGCTAAAGTATACAATATATTAAGGGAACTGAAATGAATATTGAACAGTGAGATTTGCCATTCACAGACAACCAAAGGTAACCTAATCCAAGACATGGAAAAATTGGAGAGGAAATATGGAATACACTTATAATGGGAAACTATTGAGACTTAAAGGCAGAATCACAAACTAGGAGCATGTAAGGATCTATAATTATATAAAGATAATGATGAGAATAGCTGGAAACTGTAACCAGATCTATATCTCAACCAAAATTAGGCTGGGGGGAGGGTTTAAAAGTACAATGACTATATATGTATATTTCTTTGTTCTATTTTTACTTTATATGTTTAAAATTAAATATCTATATTGAAAAGGAATTATAAATACCATCAACATAAAATGGAGCTTGCTCAGAAGCTGAAATACACCAAGCAAATGAGATGAAGAGTGGGAAGAAAAGGAGAGAGTTAAGGGAAGGAGAGAGGGATAGGAGTGAGGGTAGGAGGGGGAAGAGGAGGAGAGAAATGAGGAGTGGAAAGGGGAGAGAGAAGTAGGAGAGAGGAAGGGGAAGTAGAGAAGGGAAGGAGGGCAGAGAGAAGAAAGGAGGTAGGGAAGGGGATGAGAGAGAGAGAAGAAAGTAAATGTACAAATATAGTGTATGGAGATCAGAAGAGCCAATAACTCTTTTTTTCCTTTTTCTTTTGGGGAGTTGATGGTAAGATGAATTGATATAAACATTTAATAATACAATACAATGTTGGCTATGTAATAGTATACATGCGATTATATGTTACAAAAATGAAAAATAAAAAACTTTATGATAAAAAATAAAAGTCTAGTAAAAATAATAATAATGGGGGACACTCTCATATCAACTATGAGACGAAGTCTGCACCTAAAGAAAAATAAAGAAGTT